CATGTATATGAAGTGCTTAGAAAAAACAAAATATCATACAATGAATGATGAATTATGTTAATTAGACATTAAGAATAAACCATTGTTGAGGAAAAAATTATATGATATAGCGGTGTTCTTTTGCATGAGATTTCATAATAAGAGATAAGAGAGGCTAAGTTGGCTAAGACTAACAAATCTTATCTCAATATGTGTAAAATACTCATGAGAAGTCATATTATCAAAGTCAATTTAAGTGAGGAATATGGGTTGATATGTTTAAAAAACCCTCTTAGAGACACATTTTATGAAGGAAATATCCTTGTGTTTTTATTTACCCAACTTAACATCAAAAGTAGACTATGATTCTAGAACTGTCATCTAATTAGCATAGTCTTTGCTTTGAGATGAGTCAATCCATAGGATAAAAATTAAATCCCCATAATCAATTGAAATGATTTTCTCTTAGTATGAAAAATTTATGTAACAATTATCATTGAATCACCAAAAAGGTCAAGAAGAGCATCAAAAAGCTTAAAAGTGGTGTTTGGTACTTGTAAGGAATCACCTTCCTTAATTAATCTAATTAAATAATGGAAATAACAAATGTGAATCTTTCATAAACAATTGTATAGTATGATTTTAATCGTGTTGGATGATTGAACAAAGTTTATTTTTCATGATATTTTATTAATTGAACTCATATTTTCTAATTAAGTTTGTTTTAAAATTTTATTATTGGGTGTTTTATATATAAACAGTTAAAAAAACCATAAAATGGGTGTGAGATTGAAAGGTTTGAGAAGAGGTGTGATTTAAGAGGGAGTACTTCAAGCATCTCATTTAAAAGACCTAAGTAAAAAAATATTTTGAAGCTTGTCTGACTATATGACTTATCTTTAAGGAGAGTGACTAAACTGATCACCCAGTGTAACCTAACTCGTATGTTCCCTATCCACAAATTGAGTAATGCTTTTCAACCATTTATGTTCAAGATCTATCATTCAATTAGTATGATGCTCATTTTATTAGTCATTCAATTTCCCCTCTTATAAGAAAAGCAAAAAGATCATATAATATTTGACCATCGATATTCCTCATGACTCCTGCTTGACTCCAACTAATGATCGATGCTCAATTTTTGTAAGTTATTAATGTCCAATATGTGACTTTTTTGTTACTCGATCTCAAATCAAGCCTCCAACATTTCTTGAGGTAATTCAGATACCTTACAACTCCTACCATTATGTGAGATATCTTCCATAATTCATATTTGCTATTGAATTAAAGCCTTTTTTTATATATGGGGAAGTGTATCATTTGTATTGTATGATGCACACTAGTGAAATCATTTTAGTTGGATTAGAAAACATGAATTTTTTCCTTTTCAAAATTTTTATTTAGAAAAGATCAAATATCTTAGTAGACACTCTCAACTTATTTGTATGTATGTAAGTTTTTTTCTATGATTGAATAATAAACTCTTACTATTATCGTGAATATTCCAACATATAATAATTATATAAGATGAATTTGATTTTATATGACTCATATTGGTCAAATATCCCATTATTTAATTATTTGAAAAAAAATAAGCCCACAAGTTTATTTTGGTTGAAAATTCATCTACTATGTTACATGTGAGTGATAACCCTCGATTGAAGACTCATGCAAATTTTTTGACCAATAGAATTACTAGAATGTCCTTTATAACACTTTTTTTTTTGGTCTCTGATGTTCTCATAGCTCATATGAGTGTTCAATGGTGAAGCTTCACCATGAAGGTTTTTATTTTCTAACCATCATTTAATTTAGGTTAGTGATAATATTTTTTTGGTTAGGTAGTCTTGAATGTATTCATCATTTAGATTTATTGATTATAATAGGAAGGATTATAAAGGAGAATTATATGTTAAAAAAATAAAAATGGTAGAAGCATTTAAAAGAAGCTTTACATATTTTTAAACCTTTTTGGACCCTAAATCCTAAATCACGTTAGATAGTGTATTAAGTATTACAATATTGTTGGAACCATGCTCGAACCTCATTAGAAACTTTCTCAATCCATGCTCGTACATTTTTTAGCCATGTTTGAACCTTGCTAGAACCTTCTTAAAAAATGGTTCAAATCCTTTATTTTGTCCTTCTTATCTTATATTTAATTTATTCATTTGAGTTGTTTTACTATGTACACAAGATTTCCAATATAATCATAATCGTAGAGTGACAATACGTTGCTTTAGTTACATACCAAGCTGGGATGTAGTGGATATAGCCATTAGATAGTTTGAGACATTTATATTCTTAAAAGGTTTAAGGGATCTCCCTTTAGGTTGTTTTCCCAAGCTTTATGCACAAAAAGTTGAAGACCAAGGACTTTAAATTGGTATGAAGCTATGTTGATATATGTTATTATAGATAATGATAAGTTCATAAGGTCTTAAGTTGGCGTTGATTTTATATATTATCCAATGGCCTGGAATAAAGTTAATTACATAATATGTGAGATCTCAATGCCTACAAAGAGTATAAAATTGTATGAGTGTGACCTCTTTTGTATTTTACCTAAGACCTTGTAGACAATGATGAATTTATTTTATAAATATTCTCTCTCTTGGAAGTGGAAAAGAGATAGTACATATGATATTTTCATATTGTTCGTAAGATCAACCATTTAATATTTTAAAAGGATTTTTATGTAGCGTGCACGCACACACACATATAGATAGATAGATTGATGTGTGCTCTTTGTTATTTGCTGTGAAGGGTACAAAGTGAATATATCATCTACATGATTTTAAAGAAATATCTTTTGAAAGTTACACTTGGTCATATATAGAATGTTTTATAAAAATCTGTTATGCGTATATTTGTTTTACAACAGTGTAGATGTATATGTCCATAGATAGATAGAAGGAAAATAATAAAAAAATATCAATCAAGCCTCTAAAAATGATGCACATTCAATTATTTTTATTTATTCAATTAGTTTAATAAATTATGTATATTAAATTCCTTTTGTTTACTAATTCATTTCTATAAATGATGTACATTTACTTATGTATATAGCTATTATCAGTACATTTCCATTGTATCGACTATACAACATATTATGTTATAATTGTTGTAATTACACACTATTTTATACTAATGCTTATAGTTTGATGTGTTATAGCTATTATGATTACACCTTATTCCATCAATCTCATATTCTATTATGCTACAGTTATTATGTTTGCACTATAATATATCAATATTATAGTCTATTAAACTATAGCTTTAGTGATTGTAATTTGCTGCATCAAAGTTATATCTTACACTGTTATAATTTGTTCCAAATTATATTCAAACAATATTCAAACCACATTCAACCTTGTTCAAATCATATTTGAATTTGGTTCGAACCATATTTGAATATGTTAGAATCTTTAATGAACTTTATTTGGACTTTTTTTAACATATTTTAACCTTACTAGAAATTTATTTGAACATTGTTTGAATAGATTGTAATTTACTTGAACCTTGTTAGAATATTCTTTTGAATTTTGTTCAAATATTCTTCATATCTTATTCAACCCATTTCTTATTGATAAGACTAAATAGAGAGTTGAAGGAAAATGAGAATTATGGAGGCCAACATTAGAATCTAAATATTTTCTTTTGACAATATCTAAAACAAAATACATTAAGTATAATTTTAGTAGTAATAGATTTAGTGGTGAGATTGTGATATTGGGTGACCAAGTCATTAAAAAGAGTGTGTGTTTTAGATATATCATGTCTATTATTCTAAGTGATAGTGAAATTGATGGGGATATTATTAGTATAATTCAAGTCGGATGGTTGAAGTGGAGGAATGCATCATATCTATTGTGTGATATAAAAATACACCTCAAACTTAAGGGAAAACTTTTATAAGATGGTGCAACAACCAAACCTAATATAACCCCACATATAAAACATGTCCAGTTCTATTGGATGATGATAGACTAAGTCCAATATCTAATTTTTTGGAACCTTTTTAAAAATTTTTAAATTATTAACAAATAATAGAGCAAACTATTTAACTTCCAATAAAAAAATATACTCATCTACAAAGTTCCTCTCACTCATCTTCAAAATGTATACACAATAAATTTTTTACAATATAATACATCGCTACATACTGAGGCAAAATGAAACAAAAATATTTATGGCTGTACAAAATTAATAAACCAGAAGAGTACTTGTATAGACTCAAACAATAAGATCTTGTAACCCCTGCTACTCAGTTGGCTTCTTACCCTTATCTTGACCTGAAAAGAATGCAGAATATATGTGAGTCAACATAGCTCATAAGGTCTTACCCACCTATCTAAGATTTTAATACTTGAATAAAAAAGTAGTTATGAATGTATTATTCTACTAAACAAAATAAAGATGATAAATAATATAAATTAAATAGACTTTGCTAAAAATATAAATAAATAAGCACTTCTTATGTCAAAACAGAAATTAATTGATTTTCCTTAAACCCTTATACATCCCAATAGAGGCAAATATCAAAATTCAATCTCTTATAGCTCACTATGCTAGCTTATCAGAAAATAGGCTCTTATCATTATGCTCCAGTATCTAAAGTAAAAGAATATCTTTTTTTTTTCTATTTTTATTTATTTATTTCTTTCTTATTTTTTTCAGGATGACTTTCTTATGCAAGCTTCTGTTTTTGATAATTTTGATTTCTATGAATTTTATCTCTCTTAAATATGATAAAATTACATTATTTCTTAATTTCATAATACTTCTTAAATGCTGGAGGATGACTTTCTTAATATTTCTTAAATCAAAATTTTAAAATAAAATTAATTTATTTTACCAAAAAAACTGATTTAAAAAAAGCTGTCCAAAACGAAGCCTAATCCATCTGTTTTGCACAATCGCCTCAGATGCCGCTATTCTTCTGGATCGGCAAGGCAATTGTTGTATCCGACGTCGTCCTGTTGGTTCGGTCCATACCAGTTCTAATTCGAGCCTATATGAACCGGCTCTAGACCTCTCGTGGAGTGTTTATCGTAATATTACCATCATATAAAAATGGTTTGCTCGATAAGCTAGAAGCTCGCTGTAGCGCTTTACGAGCTTTCGTTTAGTTCAATTTGGAACGTGCCGCTACGGATTTGGCGCAATTGCTCCATAAAGGTAAGCGTTTTTCTTCGAAATTCGCCTATTTGCGTTCCTTTTATAAGATCTAGGGTTTCCTTGGAATCTCTGGTTCTTTTCGATTGACCTAAGTCCCTCCAGGAAAAAAAAACAGTTATTATTATCAAGTTTTTTTCTAGGGTTTTGTTATGCTGTGATTTATTATATGATCGTTATTTTTTTGTTCTGGGCACATCATTTGTTGGAGATTTATCTTTGTTTTTTTTTTTTTCCCGTTTTCCTAGCCTCGGGTTAATCAACCATCCCGTTGGCTACTTTTTGACTTTCTTTTGTTGTTTTTAACAGGGGTAAGACGAACTTTATGATATATTTTCTACTTTGATCGGCTTTTGAATGTTTTTCCATTTTCCTTGTTCTGGCCAGGGACGAATATTGGAAACTGTAGCTTTTACGGTATCGTGGTTTGTTGGTTTCACCATTCTTCATGAAGGGTGCCTAGATCCTGAGGTGGGTATATTGAATACTAATACTGACAATACTACAATCCATGTATTTCTTGTTTTCGTGCTAAACATCGTTTGTTCAAGCATGCCTGTAAAACTACGTCATTTGTGATCAATCATAAGATTTTAGTGGCACACTATGTTATTTTCTTTACAATTGCTGCTTCATCAGGTAGATATAGTGTGAAGGTTAGGAAATTGTTGTTCTCCATGTTAAAAGTTGTGGTGATAATGCAATTTAGATTGAGAAGATTTATTTTTCTTATACTCCATAACATAATTGATCGCATTTAGTATTTTTGGTACTATGTTTGGGGATTTACATAAAATTACATAAAATTATTCACTATTTTCATATTAGACACTCATCATCATCATTAGCTTTATCTCAATTATTGAAATTTGATTTTATGAATCTTTGTTCTCTATTCATCCTATTAATTGTTAATAAAGTGATCATCATCTTCCTTATATTTTGATTAATTTAATAGGTTTTGGTGAAAATATTGCAATTACCTATAGGCATAGTAACCTTCAGCCTATATCAGTCAAGCTTAGGGTTGGCAATGATGATGCTGTTGAATGCTATATTAGGTGAACCTATGTTGTAGATCATTTTCTACATATGTTTTGACATGTTACTTTATGTCTACCTCTTTTCTTTCCCAATATTTTTACATTAATTTATCTACCCTTTTATTGGCGCATCTTCTACTGAACATTCTATTTGCTCTAGCTACTTAAATTTGTTTTATATTACTATTAACTTCGATGTGTGGTACATATCTAATACTCAAATGATATGTACATGTATACTATCACATTATCTTAAATACTATAGCTCTATCTCTATGTTACATTATCATTTTGTGGGCAGACCTTTTTTCCTTATCACCTAAACCATATGAAGGTAAACCTATTTTCCTTCTTAATTACAACATTACAATCGCTAATATAAAGCCCTAGCGTGGTATTAGGTTGTTGTGAAGTGATGATCAACAATGGAGAAACTAAAGTAAAAGAAATTCCCTATAAGAACAAATTGAGGCGAAGTGGGGATGGGTGTTGGAAAATAAAAAATTGCATTTACTAAAGGTTAAAAAACATTGAAACTAAATAAGATTGTCATAAGAGCATGTTAGTGTGTTTGTTATGGAAGAATGATTCATTAATAGAATTGGCATTGGTGCATATCTTCAAATAATAATTCATGAGCTATTAATGAAATTATTCACTTACCACATAAGCTTAACCTTTTTTTTCCCTATCTTTTTGTCTTTATGTATGATTAAAAAAGTTTGTTGAAAATTTGGATATCCATAATAGAACACGATCCATGCAGCATTTGATAAGCTTAAATTAGCTTGTGTGGGTTGGGAACTGAAGACATGCAGAAAAATTGTTATTGCCGTTATGGATGCATATTTAAGAAGTGGAATGGGAATGGTGAAAATAAATGATTCTTATAAGGCAAAATGGTGAATCGGAAGGGTGACAATCTGTTAAATTATTTGTCTCTTTGACAACTCCCCATGTTTTCTAGCAGTGCATAGCTCTAGATTGTCTTGGTATCATCACATATCTCATAGTTTTGCCCTATATTTTCCTTTGCTTTTATTCCATGATTATTTGTTTTAGTAACTTGCCTTTGCTAACCCAATAATGAATAACCTGCATCAATGTGGTAATTTTGGATCAGGCAGTGAGTTTGGTCATTACGACTTCAAACTTTTGAATTAACTAGTATGGTATGCTTATTAAATTTGCAATGTTAATAAATTTGGGGAAATTAGTGCCTACTAAGAAAATTTTCGTCCACTTTAGATGAATTAGACCAAATTGTTCGATCCAACTGGCTTTTTGATTTAACAATCATATTTAACAATCATATTCCATATCTGGACCTCTTGTGTAATATCTGCTTCACTCCCAAAGTGGTTCTCTTTAGTCTTTAGGCAGTGATACATTCTGTTGCATTTTAACTAACATTTATGGTAGTATGATGCCATGGTATTACTATGTTAGGTTGGGAAGTGCATTGACACCCTTTAGTTGTTCATAAGGTGATTGTTTGATGCATTAGCATAATTGCTTGGACTACATTCCATGGGCTACATGCAAAGCGCTATTTATCATTAATATGGAGATAGGAAGAGAGAAAAGAGAATAGAAAAATCTTATTGATTATCTTTCTTGCTTTCTCTCTACCTTTCTATTCTCTCTATAAAATTCCATGTCAATTAGCATTTGTGTGAGGATCATGTTATGTTTTTTTCATATCACTTAACTAGTAGAGATAATTTTTAGGTCTCAAAGGACTTCTATTGCAGTGCAGACATTGCTCTATGGCATTTCTCTTTGAGAGTGAATGGAGGGAAGGTGAAGTTAGAGAAGTCAAAAGTAGTTAAGGAAAATGGAGGAAGGAAGTGAAAGAACTTTCTTATCAGAATTTGCCCTACTCATCAACACTTAAAAAAAAAAAATTGCCAATATATCATTGCATTTTTACTCCTATGCCTATTTTATTTCATGTTTTCTCGCTCTTTAACTTGCTTTTGCCACATTTCTAGGTTAATTTAACTTGACTCTTTAATTATCTAGCATAAGTGCATTCCAATCATATGGTGAATTTTGTTCCTTTTTTGTTTTTCTACAATATAAACTTTTGAAGAAAGTTTCTACATGAAGGATAGAATTATTTTGGAAAATACATGTAATTAAACTTATTAATATTCTTAAGCATAGGCTATGCACACATGTAAACTTGCATGTGCTTAATCAATAGAATATGGCTTACATTGGGCTTAATTTAGCTCGACTAATTTTTGGGCTATGACGTATTCTATCTAAACCTATAAATTGACACAACCATAACTAGATGAATTACATTTTGAATCACACTCGAGTCCGCCCCCGTGGTTCCGCCTTCCTCCTTCGGCTTTTGCGGTTCTACTTCCACACTCGAGTCGCTCGGCGAGATTACTCGCCGAGCATCATCTCGATCAAACTCGAGCTCGATAATCTAGCGTGCTCAATATTCTTCTCGAGCTCGAGCTCGAAACTCAATAAGCTCGACTTGCGAGCTCATTAACGAGTTGGGCTCAAGCCAGGTCGATTCATTTGCACCCCTAGCGGGGAGTCTTCGAGTGGCTAGAAGTGTTGCGGGGAGGGGGAGGGCTATTAACATTGTGCGAATGGGTCAACTGTAAGTGAGGAGATCTCTGAATGTGTATGATTGCGTTGTGGATTATGATCCTCATGCCGTATTTAAATTTTAATTGATTACTTTGAATCTTCTTTCACACTTTAACTTTAGATAAAGATTTACCTTCTTTCTCTTATTTGGCGATTTTGTGATTCATGGTGAGGAGCTAAGTTAATCTATCAATGATTTATGTAGTATTTATGAATTATTTTTAATTTTATGAGTTTTTGTTATTTTGTTTTAAGGCTCATACCTCATTTCGCTCAAGGCAAGATGCCTTAGTTATTGATTTCACCTTTTTAAACCTTGATGTTGGACTTACTTGCAACAGGCCTATTCCCCAATCATAGCAATTTTATAGTGATAACCATTCATTCATTCTCCTAAATAATATATGCATATTTAAACGGTATGGATAGACATGGGTTGCATTCATTCATTTATGGTTTAGAGACTAAGATTGGTGGTTAAATCGGAGAAAACCATAGTGCTTAAAGCTAAATTTTACAAAACAATATTTACATAGGCTGTGCTATATGGTTTGATTTGTTGGTTGATAAAAAGTCATTGATAGCAAATTTAAGTGCAACATACATAAGATAGCTAAGAACCTAAAGTGGTTGTATGGTAAAACAAGTATGGATAAAGAAATAATTATATTAGAGATACAAAGGAAGGTAGAAGATGCCCTAATTAGATTGGCACATGAGACTTTGTGCAGTCTTATACTGAATAGTTGAAAAATATATTTGTGTAAAAAAATATCAGGTTGTTGTCTTTCGTTTATTGGCTTATGTTTTTGGGTGCAAAAATGGGCTTGATTACTAGTGCATTGGACTCAACTTTAGTTCTCATTTGGTTCACACTTCCTAACAAGTGGCACCAAAGCTGAATGCTTAACTAGGATCAAGTGATTCATGCAGTTGATGGCTCTCATTGTTTTTTAGTGCCTTCAGTCGTGGTTGTGCAAGGTTTAATTGCGGATGACTCTCAAAATTCCTCTGTATGGTTGAGTGGCCTTTAGCATGTGTTAGTCCAATCTTCTTAGACCTTTGTTTTATTCCTGACAGTAAATTCCTTCCTATTATCCACCAATAGCACACACCAACAAGTCTGGTGAGATAATGACACACGTTGAATGAGCCACATGTGGAGGATGATGTTGATTTGTTGAGCCTAATGCTTGAAATACCGTAGCAACTGGAAGTGACACAACAACTCCGCTATAATTTGTTTGTGTTGTGGATCTACTAATGCACATAATCAAAAGTACCAACAATACTATTCATGTCAACTTCCTTGAGTTTGATGGTAAAGTCGATCTTGGATCTTTTTGTAGTTTCTATTGCTTCTATAGAAATTTTTTTGAATGGAAAGAACTAATTGAAGATTGAAGAGTTGAATTTGGTGTGGAAAAATTCAAAGGCCATATTTTTGAAAAGTCGTGTGATCGGGATTGTATGGAAAAAAGAGTTGTCATTTGCTTAGTCTTATTGGCTTCAAAGATCTAAGAGGAAAGTTGGCTTTGTGGAAAATTGCATATTTTTTTTATAACTTGTATGATAAAAAATGTTTAGTTTTGAAAATAGGCTTCTAAAGAAATGTTGAAAGGCTTAAGCTTTAATATGCAAATAATGCAAAGCTATATAATAATTGTTGGTCTAGAAAGGTTGGTGTTCCTATAAATGTAAGGTGTTTGGTTAAATTCTTCATTGACAAATATTGTGATGAAAATTGGTTTGTTGTTTTATCTATAGATGCATGTCATATTTTATTAGATATGCCACATTAGTTGACAGAAGACTAGAGGGGGCTCAACGAGGAGTTGTCGACGTCCCGATGATCGAAGCTAAGCACAACTCTAAGAACTATTTCTTGGAATGATCCACCATCTGAATATAGTTCATGATACAGAAATATAAATAAATACAGAGCTAAACTCAAGTCTTGTTAACCATCTCCCTTTTACAAGACAACAATCCCTTATTTATGATAACTTGTAGGCTACTTAAAAGGCAATTGTCCTCATGAAAACATAAAATCCAACTATTTAATTCTATGTAGCTAATATAAAGACTGAAGTTTACTGCCAATAGAATAGAGCAACAACATTGATGTCAGTCTACCGGGGTAGGAGGAACTTCAGGCTCGTAGTAAGATGATAAGTTGGCAATAATAAGGAGGTGGTTTGGTTTGCTGAACCGATTTGGATAGGTCCACCCGATGTCAATTTGCTTACCAATCTTTAACATCTCAAGATTAACACAAATAGATGGAACATTTGTGATAGTGAAATCATTTGGATCCATTGGTGTTTCCTTCACCATTCTAGAGAAGAAGATAAAAGATTCAAGGTTCAATCCATTCTGATTGTAGTATGCAATTATCGTATTTCAGGACATGATGCTTTGCTCGCTCATCTCTTCAAGATGGGATTGAGTAATGTTCATCCACTATGAGGGAATAGTTCCGGCTGGGCATCCATCTTACTCTTTTCATGATCATACATAGGCTTATCAACACTAAGCACTCCAAAGAACATGTTGTTATCATACACATCATACACATACTCATCATAGACAGAAAAAGACGACAATTTCTACAACGGATCTTTAAACCCATTGAAGCTGGACTCAATCGAAGGTGGGGAAAACGACTTACGGGGTGGTCTCCAAACATATCTTAGTAGGAAGAAGGGATCCAATCGAAATTAGGTAGATCAATCTTGATTCATTCATCATCCCACAATCCTTGCCTAGAGTGGCTATGATTTTGAGGCAGAATTTGGGTCTGATATGATTTTTGGTTGCTGAATTCTAGCCAAGAACAGGGAATGTTGTTGTTCTTGGTGGTTGGAATGGCGTGGACAGCAACAAGAATTTGCTTAGGTGCTGTAAAGGAAGACTCTAGCTTGGGAAATCGTTCGGGATGAAGTTATAGACGGGTCGGTTTGAACGCTCAGGGGCATGGTCCGCCAATGACGCATGCAGGGGCAGACGCAGGCAGCTGGATCGCACGCAGAGCCAAAGTGGGTCGTATGCGAATCCGAAATGGGCCGGAGGTGACGTGTGCGGGCGGCGGGCGCATGTCATGTTGCTCACTTGGTGTTGTGCATGTGGGCGGGCCGAATCGGGGCTCCACAATCGTGTCATGCGTGGAACGGAGAGCGCCTGGCCACAGGTTTGGGGCTCCAGAATTGCGGAATTGGGCTGTCCGGATTGAATAAATGAGCAGCTAGATACGCGTGGGAGCGAGTAGGCTAGTAATTCAAACTTGTTCGTTTCTCGAATCACCATTCCCATGGCTCTAATACCAAAAGACACTAGACTAGAGGGGGCTCGACGAGGAGTCGTTTGACCACGTCTCAGTGATCAAAGCTGAACACTACTCCAAGAACTATTTCTTGGAGTGATCCACCACCTGAATATAATTCAGGATACATAATAGAAACAAATACCTAGCTAAATTCAAGTCTTATTAACCATCTTCCTTTTACTAGACAATAACCTATGGGCTACTTCTCTCGTCTAAAAAAGATAAAATATGAAGAGCGTGTGTTGGTAACTAAGCATCAACAAATCAAAATTTAGTATTGATATCTAGTACCTTCACCTGATGATATGATCGACATGTTATCATCATGTTTTAAAAAGTTGATCTTAAAGTAGTTATCATCCAATTGGAATTTGACCTAGGAATTAATTGAAAGTTGTTTTTCAAGATTATAAGGGGTCTTTAGGAATGATTTGTTTTTCCCTTCAATTTGTCTAATGCTCCAAACATCTATGTGTTTAATGAAACCAAATTTAAGACCTTACATTAGAAAATTATAGTTTTGTACTTTGGTGAGATATTTACATTTATTAAACCTTATGGTGAACACCTTGGACACCTGTAGAAAATTTTTGAAGCTTTGAAAGGAGAAATATTTTTAACCTTAATGAGTGCCCTTTTATTAACAAAAGTGTAGTATTTTTTGGATATATGTTCTCTTCTCAAGGGGTATAGTTCAATTAATCGAAGGCATTAATAGAGTTGCAAACAACAACGGCCATCATATTGGAAAGAAGCTTTCGTGGACTTGCTATTTTAAAACATAATTTTATCAGTAGATTTATTACTTTGATTGCTCTTATTATTAATTTTTTGAAACTTACAAGTTTTGTGTGAAATAAGGAATCAAATGATATCTTTAATTTGATTAAATAAAGCCAAAGTTTCTGGACTTTATTGAGTTTGAGGATCTTCTTGAAATTGCTTAAGGTTGGTATTGGTACCGTCTTTACTCCATACAGGCATCCAATGACCTATTTTAAGTGAGAAATTAAATGATACAAAATGAAGATATTCTTGTATATAAGATTTGAAGTTCTATATGATTTTTCAAGCTTCATGATTTTTTCATAATTATTTGATTCATAAAAAAATTATTTTGCATCCTGATCAGGAGGCTAATTAATTTTAAATGCTTAAAAGATGTTGAATACCAGGAAAGAAAAATGATTTTTTTAATCTTTAAAAATATACTTTTGTCATTTGACATACGTACGATTCAGTATTTTAAACCAATTAGTCAGCACCCTTGGTAAAAAATTGTCTTCTTAGCCCCTTCTTTTGAAGTTGTTGGTTTTGACATCCTGTTGGATCAACATAAGAATGATTTATATTTTGGGCCCATTTATGAAAAATTTGAAAAGGAAAATTATATGATTTTTTTATTGTTAATGAATTTTTTTAAAATGGAACTCAACTTTGCATTCCAGCTTGTTGTTTGTGCCTTTTGAGTTATTTCCAAGTTTTGTGGGGTAAATTAAGAGGACATTTATACTTTGGTTTGTGGAGATTATTTTTGGCCAAAAATTTTAAAAAAATGTTATCGAACATTTTATAGAAAGACGTAAGCCAAATCATCCATGGGATAAGGATAGAAAACAAAATATTTGTTTTGATTAATCCTTTGCAATTCTAAATCATCTATGAGAGTAAATAAGCATGGACTTTGTGCTTGATTTGCCACACAATAAAAAAGGCAATGATTTTATTGTCATTGTTGTTAATTATTTTTCTAAAATGGCATATTCTGGTCCTTGTAGGAATGTTGTGGATGCTTCCAATTTTGTGAACCTTATCTTTTGTGAGGATCATTAAGCCCCACGGGATGCTAAAGCCCATCACCTTGGATCGAGAAGTGTGGTTCGTGAGCTACTTTTTGGGAACTATTTGGAGAAATCTAAGCACTCAACTTCATTTCTGAAGGGCTTACCATCCTCAAATTGATGGGCAAACCAAGAAAGTCAATCAATTTTTTGGTGACATTCTTCATTGCTTAAGGACCAAGACAATGAAACATTATCATATAGTTCGGTCCAACTTTGCCTATAACTGATTTAAATGTCGCTCAACTCAAGAGTCTTCTTGATGGATAGGAGAATGACGATGCATTAAAATCCCACCCAATGGCCGCTTGCAGCAACAGCTAGTGGATGAGCAGAAGCATCAAATCCGAGTATTAATTGCACCCACCTCTAATCCACTTCAAATGGATGCTTAGGCAATATAAGCGCTTGTATTAGGAATGTTTTGGCGCTGCTTTATTCCATTTGTTCTCAGCTGATTATTTTCTTAAGGGATTTCTCTTTTATGGGTGAGTGGCTCCCCTTAATTTTTGTGAGCGATACCTCAATCACATTATGTAACTATGTTCTATTCCTAACTGTAAAATATCTCTCGTTTTCTTTGTTCCTCACTTCAAGTTCTTGGCTAAATCATCAATTTTGAAGCTGCAGCAATTTATAAATATCAGAATGGATAAAAGCTTTGAATATGTTGTGCTGCATATGCCTCATGTTGCACTTGAGTCATGAAATTGTAGGCGTTTCTTCTAACCTTTCTGAATGTGCATGTTATATTATTCACTTGATGGTGCCCGTAATGACCAACATTCATGTAATCCAAGAAGACCAAGACCTACCATTGAGGTATATTTATATCCGTGCACTCGACAGTGTTAACATATTAAGACATGTAGGTTGGCTTGTTTTACGGACTATGTTACTTTATAATAGGCTTATGGGATTGGAAAGATATTTGAACATCTAATCTAGAGGGAATTCATTTGGCACATTTAGAGTGAAAATTTGTGTGAAGAAAATGTTGTAATAACCCCTTAGGGATTTATTCTATCATGTAATGAGCGCAGCTTTGTTTGCATTTTTAGGATAAACGCTTGATATAGTGTTTTTTGAATCTATAGCCTCTCCTAGGGTTGTAGGTGGGGTTTTCTTTATGAATGAGACTTGCTCGTTGTTAGAAATTGGGTTTGTTATATGCTTTTGTTAGGATCTGCATATACTCAGATATATGCCCAAAAGCATGTGCTTTAGATTAATAATGCTCCATGCCTGCATATAGCTAACACTGCGTGTGTGGGATAACATTATTGGTGTATGTGTTGCTAATTGATGATATATTTTAGTGCACTATAGCAATTTGTGGCAGGTATCATGATATAGCAGATGCCACACCCTTTTTCTTCTCAAATGAGCATTTTCTTAGTAATTTAAACTGAGCACAAAATATATACAAGGCTTTGAAAACTAGGCCAGAAAATGAATCAGAAGGGAGAGGTTAGCGGTTCGATGGTTCGATCCGGACGATGTAATAAATACTTATTATATTTAAATATTATAATAATGACAACTATTTGTAAATATATAATAAAAATTGAATATAATCATAATATGAAGCATAAAAAGACATAACAAATAAATTTGGTAAATTTAAAATTAAATACATTATTATTATGCAGTTTTTTTTCCAGTAGAAATTACACTAAGAATAAAAGAACATAGTATCTTCTTAAATCTTCAGATACCACATGCTAATAAAAAGGCCTCTCAAAATAACAGTGCATGCAAGAATCAAAGAACACGTTGTAAATGTGAGGAGGATGGAATAGAGCGAGGGCCAAGGAGAAGAAGAGATGAACTCACAACAGTGGGTCGGAGAGCAGTCGAGCACGCTCTTCTTTGATTCATTCTTCCTTCTGGTTTTGTAAAACAGATGGCGAGTCGGGCGAATAGGAAGAAGCGTAGAAAGGTTTTTTATTTTGTTTCGTATAAGTATAAGCTTTACTTTAGTTAATTTTAGGCCATCCGATTTGGTCTGAACGGCTCAAATCATTTTTCAAATGAACTGACCGGTTATTCAAAACTAGGACCGGTTTAGTGGCTCAAAGGTTCGAACCACCGGTTCGAACGGTTTGATAGTTGTTTTGTGCAAAACCAGTTTTATAGTAAACTGTAACTGGCTAGCCAGCGGGTTCGCGGTTCAACAGATTGAATTGATCGGTCCGGTCCAGTTTTTAAAGCCATGTTATATATATATATATATTTATTGATTGCTATGTTGGGTGAAGAGATTGCTTGATAGAAAATAAAATTCCAGAAGTTCATATAATTCTTCCATTTTATAAACTCGAATGAAATGCTAGGCGCTGCTAAATTCGAATGAAATGCTAGGCGCTGCTCATTTTAAATTACTATGAAATTAACTTGCTTGAATGTTGTTGATCATGTATAGTGTGCGTTGCACTGATAATTTATGTCCGCCGAGGAATATGCTGACATTATAATCCTTGTAAAGTTTGGATTTGAACAAATGAAGTTTGCTAAGAACCTTCTATTCTAGCAATTTTTGTTACTTTAGGGCTCATTTAAACTTTACTGAAATAGAAACAGCCATTTGGCAGCAAATTCTTGGACTGGTGAGTTTCGCCATTCCTACGTTAAAAAAGTTGATCAGTTTGGTCTACCTTTTTAACTCGTTAAGAAAACTTGGAAAATTTTGCCGTACATGGGAAATTTCTTCTAACCCGGATAAAAATAAACTAAATTGCTCATACAAACTGGCTTGGTGAGTTAAATCTCATCTTCAGTGAGCTTCATCACATATTTTATAACTATTCAGTTCAAAAGTTGTTCTTTGCAAGCATTTGATGCATCGTGTTGGTCTGTAACTGACATGTGGCAAGATGATGCCATGCTAGCTATGTAGAGAGTTGACATTGGTGCCCTTTATTTGCTCATAGAGACGTTGGCTTGATCCATCGGCACCATCACTAGTAGATATTTGACGGTCCTCATGCAAATTGCCATTTGGCATGGAGAGAGAGAGAGAGAGAGCATAGATCTTCTTGTTTTTTCTATCTTATATATTTTTTCTCACACTTTTTATTTCCCTGCTAAATAGCATTTATGTGAGGACCTCGCCCTTGTTTCTTGGTCTTGTGGTGGACACATCATTTTGTGTTGTTTTTCTCCTTGATAGTGGAGTGGTAGGGAGATGGAATTAGAGAAGCCCGAATTAGGTTAGGGAAGGAAAATAAAGAGATTTACCATTCGAGAGGTAGATCAGCTCTTCACAAGTTGATCTACTATTCAAGAGGGTGATCAGTTTTTCACAAACCTTAGACGCTGCAAGGAACAACTCCAAAGAAAAACTACAGCAAACACATAAATCAAATAATGAAAAATAAAACAACTCAATTAATCATAATATAAACCTTCCTACTTCCCTCCCAAATTTGAATTCAAATCAATTTTCTTTACCTAAATAAATCTTTCCTTATTCCCTTCCAAATCTGAATTCAAATCAATCCTCTTTTCTTAAATAAACCTTTATTAATTTCCTTTCAAATCTGGATTCACATCAGCCCTTTTTCTCTAAAATAAATATTTCCTAATTTCCTAACAAATCTGAATTCAAATAAGTCCCATTTTCCTATAAAATTTCCTAATTCCCTCTCAATCTTAGTTTTCTATGATAATTAATTAAATTGGAATTAATACCCTTTGCTCTTTCGTTCCAAATCCATGGCCATCATGAAAGCTTTTAAAATCATCTACTTCTCTACCAACATGTCCATTTAAATCTCCTCCAATAAAAACTCTTTCTTCAAGAGGTATATTTTGTATTAATTCTTCTAAGTCATTCCAAAAATTTAATTTAGAACTCATATCCAAACCTACTTGAGTAGCATAAGCACTTATAATATTAACAATCTTTAAAATTTAAAATATTGCCTAATTTTAAATGATGGCAAGCACTTCTGATTATAACAAATAAAAGCTTAAGGGAAGCACAGCATAATCTTGCGCTAAGTATTTAAGTACTTTAGCACTTAATTTTTATAATATAAATTTAAAATATTTAAGTATTCTAACCAAATTCTTAACCAAATTCTCCACAGCATACTTAAGGGAAGCACTTAATTTTTATAATAATAACTATTTAACTAAAATGCTTAAGGGTAAAACAAATAAAAGCCTAGCACTTCTTGCGCTTAATCTTGAAAATATGGCTTTACAACAAGTTGCTGCGTGTGTATTTACAGTCACACTACAAGTTGATTGCGTAAATGGAAATTTAAACAAATAACCCCAAAACAGGAAACTATTCATAGTCGAATAAAACTAAATAATTAAAAGAACAATCTAACAGTATGCACCTTGGTTCTTGAATTCACTAAGAGCCAAACAATTAACATCAAGATTTCTGTCACCGTTCTCAAGAACTCTATGCAATGCTGAAATTTGGATGAAGCCAGAACTTCGGTCAACATTGCATTGTCTTCTGTTGGAATCTTTACAATCTCCCATTAATAGTTGCCTTCTTCATGAAATGATAATTTATATTTATATGCTTAGTTCTTTTATGATGCTTTAGACTTTGAGATAAATAATCTGTTTTGATCATCACAAGGCATACGCATATGAGTGAGTCTTGTTGACTGAAATAATAATTCAGGAATCAACACTTTTAATCATTCTTCTTTTATGGTCTCAAACACTACAAGATATTTAAAATGGTTGTAAATTAGTCATCCAACTTATAATGTCTCCAAAAACCTTAAACTCATACTTGTAAGGGATCTTTGATTATCAAAACATCTTGTAACATCTATATTTTCATACCCGGAAGCACTTCTGTCTTTAGAAATAGGTTTTTTTACACCTCAATTTCAAGGTAATTGATTGCATTTAAGTACTTTAGCACCCATTTTTGTAACTTACCAATGGTACTTCCTAGGATCAAACATTAAAGAAGTAGGGTGTTAAGTTTTATAATATGATCAAATATTTATAAAAGTGATCAAATTAGAGCATCGATGGTTGTTTTATTCGAATAAGAAGACCTTTTGTGATTATTAATACTCAGAGTCTTTAAAATAGCCTAAAACAAGTATATGAGTTAGTTTTTTGTTTAGAGTGTATTTAGTCTTCAAACATGTATTAATTATTTGGCATATTTTAGTAGCGATTTTTTAGATGTTTAAAAGTTAGAAATCCATCACTTTGCACTTAAAGCGGATGGTGTGAGGAATGATGATGAACCCGATCCATATCCCATGGTTCCATCCTTCAGTGTTGTCATAGTCACTAGTCTACTTATTCAGAGGAGGTTCTTGACCCAACTTGACCGAACAATTCTTGTTGATAGCCATGGGTTGCTTTGCATAGGGTACTTTGTAGCCCTTGGGTGAGTGTTTGTCTAAGGGATGAATTCAAGTTAATCGTAGTTAAGTGAGAGGGCTTTGTGCCCTATCAATTAAATTTTATGATTCATTACTTAAGGGCATTAGTG